GAGCACCACACGAGAGGGTCGAGACATAGACATAGGATCACGGCTCAAATGCTGAGGCTCGACATAAGTAGTGGATGCACAGAAGTATTTGGACCAGCCGACACCCCTGCTGTGAGAGCAAGAACTGTTTGATGTTGCCAGGGATCAACATCAACTGGGTGTTCATCACGGGGTGGGCGATTCTGAGAGTTGGCGCCAACCCGATTACGGGGATGGACCCAGGTGAAACGACCACGCCCGCGACCACGGCGAGGAACGGCTAGATGTCCAGCCGGCAGAAATGAGACTTCATCCAACAGGATGCCATGCGGACGAACTGACATGGAACTATCATAGATCTCCGACCCTGGCGGTGGTGTTGGAAAAGAACAAGTAGCGTTGCCATGGCCAAGTCTCCCGCAATTGAAACAGAACAAATGAAGATATTCATAATCTAATTTGGTCCAGAAACTGCCACGATTCTCATTTTGTGCAAACAACCGTGGCCGAAGGGGTGCGTCAACATTGATGAATACGAGCGCCTTAATGAAAGGGTCAGATTGACCAGGATGATCAGCATAGATACCGATCTGACGATTCTCCAAACCCCCATCCAGATGGTTTGCTAGGCAGTGACCAAGACTCAGAGTACAGAATTGGGGCGGGATCTTCATAATGTACACCACAAATGGAACCCGTGCAAGCTCCCCATATAGCCCATCTGTAATTGGTTTCCACGGAAGTAAATGCAGCACCAGATCTTTGACGGTCCACGGAGAGCGGCGGAGGATCCGAGTCCGAGTAACAGCATCAGTCACAATGAAACGCAAGAGCCCACGATCAGCCTCATGCACAATGATGTGGTTGTTAGCCGAGCCCCTCATCCATTAGCAACATTTTCAAGCACTGGCCTTGGCATTGGATTAGGAGAAAACAGCCGGCCAACCAAAGAGATATCAGCCTGTGCAGGACCTATGTCCACATCTTTGTCATCAAAAGCCACCACCTGATCAACATCCATAGGGTCCATACTAGCCACCAATCTCTGAATCGGACGAACTGAGAACCAATTTAAAACCCATATAAGCATAACAGACAGTAAATTCCAGAAACAGAAGAACAGAAGGCGAAACATTGCAGGTGCAGTTACCACGAATTCCACACTGCCAAGTAATAGCGTCCCTTTTTGAACTGAGGAAAAACTTATTCGTATATAAACCAAGTGCGTGGGGGATACCCACGGCCTGCCGAAGACCCACGATTGAACAGGTCGTATTGTCCATGAACCAAGCGCCGAGGAAACGGCGGAGACATCGTCGGAATAACCGTCAGAGGAAACTGGAGAGTCGAGAGCTCCCCACATCTTTTTCAATATGGTGTAACCATTTACTATTCTTGGTTGAACAGATAGGCGGAGAGAGGCCCATTGGGCCTTGTCCCGAGACAGGGGTAAATTTCGGAGGAACAAAAATAAGTCATATATATGTATATTGGTGATGCAAAACAACGCATATAGGTAGTATTAGAGCATTTTTGTCACTACAATACAACTCATTACTTATTCCTAAATTGACATAAAATTAATTTATTATACTATAAACGAATTCTAATTGTAATAAAGACCTAATCGGATCTCTTTTCTCCTTATGCCCATTCGATTTTTTCCAACAACCCTGAAATTGTCTAGCGGCAGCGACAATTCCACTAGTATTTTGATTCTTCGAATTACAACTGCAAATGTAAAAAGAGAATTTTCAACTTTGAGTTATATTAAGAACAAGTTTCCAAGTCAATTTGGCGACCAATTTGCTAATGCTAATTTAGTGAGATACATTGAAAAAGACTTATTTAAAAGTGTAGCCGACGAATGTTTTTGCGTTTCTTTCACAATATGAAATCTCTCTGTGGTTGTTAAAAACAATGATTGTATATCATAATAGGTCATGGATTGAATTCATAACGTTGGAGTGATATGAAATCTTGATCAAGAATGTAAATCAAGTACAAAAAGTTTTCAACAAATGACTAAATATTATGATTGTGAAACATTCATAATCTATAGCAATACTTGGAAATTTTCACCATATTTAACCAATAAAAATCTCTAACAAAAACTATGAATGAGATAATCCCAAAATGTAAATATTTCGGCCAACTGGCCGGATCCAAACTAGTTTTGTAGATAGATTATAGATGTACAGCTGGACAAACCATTTCCTAGCGCGGGCTTATCCAGCTTCCTACGGGCTAATTGGGCTTTCCTGAACCGTGTCTCAGATCGTGAGCCTATCCAGATTTAGACGATCCCATTTCCAGCCAAAAAAGTAACAAGAAGTCCATGGGCCCCGAAATACAACGGACAGGTACTATTTATTATATATGGGCTCAATTAAGAGATTAGTAGTTGGACAAATTTGTTTCCATTTGTGGAAGCGGATGGAATCAGACAAAAGGCACTGTGACTGTCCAAGCAAAGACAGAATGATGGGCCCAATAATTAGCTTTACAACTCTGTTGCTCTGCTGCTGCAGCAAATTTTGGAATCTGACCGTTGTGGAATTTGTGTTGCTGCGATTGAGACTTCACAATAGCCTCAGCTCAGCTGCACCAAATCTTTGAATGCCCAACCCCAACATATCTCATTCCTCACCAATTGACATTTGTACTTAGTATTCTCACGAATTACCTTCTTTTATTATTCTGGCAAAAGGCTAACTTATAAGTTCTATCAATATACCTTATGATGGCCAACTCATACTAGATCCCGTTGCATTTTATTGGAAATGGAAGACTAGACCAAATGAATTTGATATTTTCGATGTAACTTTCGCTAACTCCCACTATTATAAAGTGAGTTGTTGGTAGCAATTCGGCGAATTCGTTACATCGAAAATACTGGAAACCCTTCATATGATCTCCCATCTACACATATAGATATACAGGTTTTTCTTCTAAACCTTCGCCCTTCGGGCTCGCATATTCTAAATCTTTGCTAGGAAAATCCGTATCCAAAAAATAATTCATCAAAATGATCGGATTGTTTGACTATAGGTATGATTAGAATTGTTGATCATAGGTTTCATGATGGATTGAGAGTGGCTTGATCACAGTGGATCGCTTATAGTCGTGAATCAACAAGCGTATGTAAAATATTTTATTATCGAATCATATTTTGATTGAATTAAAAATGGTTACGTAACATTCCACCGAAAAAAATGGTTACGTAACATTACGGAATGGAATTCATAATACAATTGCAAGATCAAATATTTGCGGGGATCTATTAATGGATCGAGCTATTTAATACCGTTTTTATATCTGATTCCACTTAAAATCAAAATTTGCGATGTAATTATTCACAAGTGCATAACCATGAATTATTGATACTATTCTAGACAGGCTTTTGGCCATGTGCTTAGTTGTACGAAAAAGGGGAATTCAATGCAGTCTCCAAGTTTGTGTATACTACTAGTACTGCTACTTCTTTATATAGTAAGCTTGGCAAATTGCAAGTAGCTGCAACAAAAAGGTAGAGTGGCCTTTTCCTTGAAACTTGAATACATAAAAGCAACGAGAAAAAGGAAGAATAGAACCGTGCTTGCTCCCATACCTATCAGCTTTTCCCCCAACTAAAAACTAATTAAAAGTAAAGTGCTAACCCAAAGTAAAAGAAGTGGTTCAATATTGCATATCAGACAAATTTTGGCTTCAGTTGGAATTCCACTTATGCAAGGATTTTACTTTTGTTTTAAAGTATCGTGGTCTAAATCCATGCAACGAAAGATGTTCAATTACAGTATTTTGTATCCTTGCATGTTACAAGTATAACTTCAGAACTAATTTGGTCACCAAAATTTAAATTTGTATGATTTTTGTTTCTAGATTGAATTAAGATATTAAACCTCATTAAGGTGGCGAGTGATTGCAAAGGTGGTGGTGAATAGAATCAAGAACGAGGAACGGTCACTCGCGAAAATGAGTGATGTTCTCGATGAAATTAGAGAAGAGATGGAAGCAACAAGTAATCTCTCCTTGCATTTTTGGGTTAGGATGAGTAACGAAGCAACTCATTTGCTAGCTACTACTAGAGCCCAATGCAATGGAGAAGAATTCTTGGTTCATTTACTATCAGCAACCACCGTAACTCTTATACGAATCACTAAATAAAAGTTATAGGTTGGTTATAAAAAAAAAAAAAAAAAAAAAAAAAGAGGTGGTCACTACATGTTGGCTGCTGCCCTGTGGTCTATGGGCGGCCTCAAAAGTATTAGACCTCAACACATCACTCTTGCAATAACTGAAAAAATGAATGGCCAACTATTGTTGGGGTTAGGTTGACATGGGTGTAATTATGAGCAAAACCACACTGCACAACAAGATTAATGTGATGTTATTATGATTCGTTTGAAACCATTAGACATTCCTTATTCTTCTTTTTTCTGTTTGCTTTACCTTTTATTGGGGTTGGTCAATTTCCACCATGAGTACTACTTCCAACGTGATAATTCTTTTAAACCAACATCACCAACGGAAACATGATTTACTCTTAGAAATGCATGTCATTAAATGATGATGGAGTGGATTTTGAGGCTTATTATGATCGTTCCTCCTCTTGCTAATAGAGCTTTCGTTGGAGAGGTTCACTTCAAGTATATTATGGACCTTTTTCTTTTTAACTTAGAAAAGTAACTCAATTCATTTGTTTGTTCGGCTTTGAAAAAACAGAAAAAAGAAAAAACTTGTTCTCTTGATCGTCGAAAGTAAGTATCTTTACTCACTCTAACCCGTCTACAAGGCTGATAATAAGCTCTCAAAATAGATCAGACAGATCGAACAAGACAGGTAGAATCCAAATTATCATCCTATCCACAAGAAGGATACCAACAATCCAACTTAGCCGTCACACTAGAAAGGAAGGAAGGGAGGGACCATGAATAAATGCTACAAAGAGAGACGTTATGGTCAATTTGTTTTTACCATTACGAGCACCCATTAATTACTCTTATTATCAAACCAAAAATCCCACATTAAAGGAAGAAAAAGAAAATTAACCTTCATTCCTTAATTAACCCCCCTTCCCCCACGGTTAATTAATGCGCGGGCTTCTGCTTCAATTCCACCAATTCAGTTCTCCCCCTTCTACGCCCTTCTTCCCCTCTCTCCCTCTGAAAAGCTTCACAGAAAATGGGCTGCTCCGCCTCCAGGCTCGACGGCCTTCCGGCGGTCTCCCTCTGCCACGACCGCCTCCGCCTCCTCGACGATTCCCTCCGCCACAGCTACGCCTTCGCCGACTCCCACGCCGCCTACCTCCACTCCCTCCGCTCCTTCTCCCCCGCCCTCCTCTCCTTCCTCCGCACCCACGCCTCCCAAATCGCCGCCTCTCCTCCCTCCGGTTCACAGCCGGAGAACTGCACCTGCGACGGGGACTGTAAGAGCAGCAGCAACAGCAATTCCTCCTCCGAAGCTCCCTCTCCCAATCGCGAATTCTCCAGCTCCAGCTCTGATTCCGACTCCGACTTCGCTGCGTATCCGAAGTACGATTCGTACGGAGACGGCGGAGGAAGAGTAGCAGCAGGAGGAGGAGAGTTTGCGCCGGTGGCGAGGTCGTGGATAACGCCGTCGCCGCCGCAGCCGAGGTCTTCGTCGGCGTGGGACTTTTTGAATTTCTTCGACGCGACTCCGTACGAGCGGTACGATTTCGTCGAGAAGGAGAAGGGAGAGGAAGGAGCGAGCAAGAATCAGGTCAAGGAAGTGAAATCGGGTCGGAATCGCCCGGATCCGACTCGGAAGGAAGCAAAATCGACTGCTGGGAAGAAGAATCGGCCGGAGCCGGAGGGGAAGACCAATGTTGGAGCAGAGAAGAAATGTCCGAAACACGGCAATGCTGTCGACGAGAAGGTCGAATCCGGAGAGGAAAAGAAGGAAAGTGCGGCGAAGTTGATGAAAGAGATGGAGGTCGGGTTCGAGAGGGCTGCGGAGTCTGGAATCGGAGTTCTGAGCTCGCTCGACGCCGGGAAATCGCGGTTCTTCAGTAAGGAATCTGTTTTCCAAGGTGAGTGTAAGAGTAAAGGTTTTACTGAAGCTCGTTGAGCTGCTTGGTGATCTGGTTTACTCAATCCATTGTTTCTTCCTTTTCCGGCTAATCGGCAGGGGCTTCCTTGAAGCTATTCCGCTCCACTGATGCGTCAGGATTTGATGGAGATTCAGGCGTTTCGACGTCCAACTTATCGTCGACGCTGAGCAAGCTCTGCATGTGGGAGAAGAAACTCTACGACGAAGTCAAGGTTTGTTCTACCTGCTACAGTCAATTGAACTTTATCAATATCAGGAGTTTATCATGTAGTATAAGATGTATCTCACAAATGGTGTAAAAAACAGCTACAAGAGATTCACCTTTTTTCAAAATTGTGTCTCCTCAACGCTGTTTTAGGCGGAAGAGAGGTTGCGGATTGCTTATGGGAAGTGCTGTAAGAAGATGAAGAAATGCTTGGCCGACGACGGGGGCGCGGAAACCAGAGCAGCCGCCGATGCACTTGGGGCCACGCTCAGAACTCTGGCCACTCAGATCAAAGTTGGAATTCAAGTCATCGACAGGACATCAACCAACATCAACAAGCTGCGGGAGGAAGAGCTTTTCCCCCAAATCACCCATTTGATTCAGAAGTAGGGAACTCCTCCTTCCCGCCATTTATGACAATAAGTTTAATTACCATTAATCACCAAGTAGCTAGCTCAATCTGGTGGATCTTTTCCTTTTTTTCATCAGGTTGCTTGAGATGTGGAAATCCATGGGGGAAACTCACAGAGCCCAGTTAGAAGCAGTTTCAGAAGCGCAATCTAGAGGCATCCTCTCCTTCAAAACAAAGGGAAAGCTGACCGAAGAGGGTCTCCAATCAGCAATGCAGCTCAAGATCGAGATACAAACCTGGGCTCTCAGTTTTATCTCGTGGGTTTCCATCCAGAAGCGCTGTCTCAAGTCCCTGAACGGCTGGCTCCTCAAATGCCTGCTCCCTGGCGAAGAAGGAGCGGAGTATTACCCCCCGGTGTTCGCTCTCTGCGACAAATGGTCGAACACCTTGGAGGCGCTCTCGGAGAGGGAAGTCATCGACGCCGTTGGTTTGCTGTTGGGCGGATTGAACAAATTCCTGGAGCAGCAGCAGCCTGCTCATGGTGAAGAAAAACCGGTGACTGTGGACAAGGAAGTGGAGAGGAGAGTGAAGGCTTTGGAGAGGGAAGAACAGAGGTTGAGTAAACTGTTGGTGGTGCATCAGGGGATTGGGATTTGGAAGGTGTTTGATGGTAAAGCAGGGGATTTTGAGGTGGGTTTGAAGCAGGTCTTCATGGCGATGGAGAGGTTCGCGGCTGGGAATTTGGAAGCTTATCAGCAACTCCATGCCCAGATTGAAGCTACCAGATCAATGCCGTAATTGGCCCCTTGTTGTAGATGGTTTTGCTTTTCATTTTTCTCGTTGTTCTCTATTTAGGACTTGTACGGTTCCAGATTTCATTTTCCAGTACATACGAACATTCAACCAAGTACAAATTCTTATTTTATTTTTATTTTTATTTTTATTTTGCATTATCAGATGACCACTGCGTCTGCGAGTCTGCGATAATAGCGACAAATACCTCTCCTTAATGATAATTGTACGAAATAGTTAAAAAAAATTGAGGCATAATCAAACCTATAATCACAAGACCAACTCAAATTTTAAATTGATATGTAAAATCGTTTATTTTACTCATTAGACAGCTCAAGAAAATCAAGAAAATAATTGTACGAAAATTTTAAATTGATTTGAAAAATGAATGTTTTGATATAATTGAGTTTTAAAAACATGGATATATGAATGCTTTGGGTTTATTATGGATTTGAAAAACATCATTGTTTGTTTCATGGATTTCATGATATATTTTGTTAATTACACTTGTTTGTATAAACTATAAAGTGAAATTTACTTTTATTGTCCAAAAAAATATAAGAAAAGAAAGAAAATATGAGGAGCAGGTTGGTTAAAAATGATGGAATTCAAAGTCCATGAGCAATTCTCACTTAGGCCAAGTCCAATGCAAAACCCCAAATTTGAGGGCCTTCATCCCCAAATTTGGGGATTGATCCTCATTTTCCCTTCTTTTGTTCCAATACTTCAATCTTCATATTTGGGGATCTTAATTTTTCCAGTTTTCCATTCACTTAAAAATGTACTTATTGAAGCCTTAATATAATTTGTTCATGTTAATTTTTGTATAGTTCGTCATCATTTTTAAATACAAATGTTTTGATAGAATTCTGTAAAATTCTGAGACAGGGGTTTTTTATGGCAAAAAAATTATAGACCTAATTTGGGTTTACACACAACACTTGAAAATGATAAAGCTAAAGGAGTTGACATAATCATTCAAATGGTACAATTCATAGGTTACACACAACACTTGCTAATGATAAAGCTTAAATATTACACACAACACTTGAAATGATAAAGCTTAAAAATAACATACAACACTTGAAATGATAAAAAGGAAACATATAACATGTCAATAATCGCCCAGAAGATAATAGTAATTCCCGTAATCTCCTCCTCCACCTTCATCTCATCCTCCACTTCCATCTCCACCTCCGATTTGACTTGCGTTGGATTAATAGTCGGGAACAGAGTTGGGATCATCTTGATCATACCCTAGGAGCATGTTTTGATGATTTTTGTAAAACTTCATCTTTCTTGGTGTCAACTTCGACAAGTCCTTTTCAAGAAGATCAAGGTTGTTCTGAAATAGTGTTGCTTCCCTCTATTTTTTCCCAAGTTCCCACTTTTCTTGGTCACGCTTTGATTTTTGTTCTTGGAATTCCATCCTTATTCGCTCATACTCAGCCCTCGAAGCATGCCTCTCCTTCAACTCACTTCCATACTCCAGCAATTGAGTAGTGTAGCTCTCTGATGACTCAACAACCCCCTTTCCTTTCTTCTTAGCCGCCTTATGTTTGTCGCGTCCAGCAGGGCGAGATATGATGAATGGTGGAGTTTCTTCGACGAATGGTGGAGTTTCTCCGACGAATGGTGGAGCTTCTTCGTCTCCTTCTGTGTCATTGAGGTTTGTCTGTGGTGTTGATTATAACCAAGAACCATGAGAGAACAATCAGAACCTTGACTCATGCGGCTTTGATTTGAAGACGGCATTGTTATCACGATATGAAATTTTTTGCATCTTTTCAAGATCCACCAACAATGACCAAAATTCCAACCCTTTTCTTCGGTCTCACTTAAATATAGTTGTTCTGCCATATGCTCCTATACGTATGAATGAATGAGATGGAAAAGGAGTTAGAAAATAGAACACACGTACTAATGAACGAGTTAGAAAATAACAGTGATGGTGACGAAGAATTCATACCACATCCATTTGATTCGTGTCACTTGGTTGATTCCTCTCTACCCTTTGGATAGCTGAATTCCAACACATGCAGTATTTGGTGATTGTGCCCATTCGATTAGACATGCTTTTGATAGTAAGAGATGTGTTTCGATCGTTCGATCGAAATTGGGCCGCCACTCTATCTCATAAATTTTTATCCCTTTGATTGACGCCCACGGCTCCATCTTCCGATATCGTCACACAAGAACTGCATAAATTCTTATCTTCCTCCACTTTCCACTTTCCAATTCCCTTTTCTCTTGCTTGTCATTGTTTGGTTTTTAGAGAGATAAAGATGATAGAAAGAATGATGAGACTAACAGAAAATTTCAATTCAGTAAGAATGAATGGTAGAGAGAGGAGAGGATGTCTGAATATATAGAGAATTTATGACCGTTAGGATATGACCATTAGGTAAGGTTGGCAGGTAAGACTGTTAGTTAGCACATGTTCGAATAGGACCATTAGGTAAGGTTGGTAGGTAGCACATGTTCGAATATGAATGTTAGGTAAGGTTGGTAGGTAGCGCATGTTCGAATATGACCGTTAGGTAATGTTGGTAGGTAGCACATGTTTGGATATGACCATTAGGTCAGACAAATTTGAGTATAAATGCAAATCCCCCATTTGCCATCAATTTTATACTTGTCTGAAACTTCCTCCCATTTATAAAATAAAAACATCCATCATGAGTTCCTCAGATTACTCATCGTCTGGAGGAGAAGAAGAGATAGAAGAGTTGAATCTGTTTAACTATCTCCGGTTGGCTTTAATTCGGCGGAGGCTTGAGGAAGCTTCATCCTCACGTCGTCTTTCAACAAGTCGCACCTACATTGATCGTGAAAGGGTCTCAGGTCATGACCGTCTTATGTAGGATTACTTCAATCCAAATCCAACATACGATGCCCGCGTATTCAGAAGGCGTTTTCGTATGCAACCACGACTATTCAATCACATAATAGGTGACGTTGTGAGGTATGATCCCTCTTTTGCATGAAGGATTGATGTCGTTGGTCACCTAGGCCTATCGCTGGAGCAAAACCTTACTAGTGCACTGCGCATAGGGATGGCAATGGGTCGGGTTGGGGCGGGTTTTGTCAAACCCAAACCCAAACCCATGGGTTTGTCCGCCAAAAAAACCCGGGGTATAACCCGCTGGGTTTGAAAAACTCAAACCCAACCCGCTGATTATCCACGAGTTCATGGGTACCCGTGGGTTTTGTTGTAAAAAATTTACAATAACAAGTTTCTTTCAAAATAAAAGTTTAACATCAATTTTCTCATACAAATTATTCATACAAAAAACACAAATCTAGAGCATACAAGCAAACCGCAAATGATCAATACAAATTGCTCAAAATTAAAGATAAACATCTATAAACAATAAGATTAATTGAAAGCTTCTTCCTCGCCAACTAAGTTTCTTCACTCTCCACTTCATAATATCAACTTCATTCTAAACAATTAGAATGAACAAATTATACATGTCTCCACAAACATAAAGAATATTAGTTGTTTATGGAAGATATATTATTTAGAATATTAAATATACCGGGAAAGTAATTATATGTGTGTGAGCGGGTACCCATGGGGCGGGTTTACCTAAACCCAAACCCAACCCGACCCGGTGAATAGTGTAGCGGGTTTAAACCCAAATCCGGCACAAAACCCGTCAACACGGGTTTTACCCGCGTTGACCGGGTTGGGTCGGGTGGGTACCCGTGGGTTCGGGTTTTGTTGCCATCCCTAACTGCGCATGCTAGCTTATGGCTCTCCAGCTGATCAACTTGATGACTACATGCATATGGGTCAGAGCACTGTGCTAGAAGTTTTCATGAAGTTTTGCAGAGCCATTGTCGGGATGTACTCATCGACATACCTTCGTGCACCAACTCCTGTTGATCTAAGGATTCTACTTCATAAAGCCTCACAACGCGGATTCATTGGTATGATTGGATCAATTGATTGCATGCACTGGGAGTGGAGGAACTGTCCTACTTCTTGGACTGGGCAGTACCTGGGGCACAACCGTAAACCAACAATAATTCTCGAGGCAGTGGCTTCATACAACACCTGGATATGGCATACTTTCCTCGGCCCGCCTGGGTCGAAAAATGATATCAATGTTCTGGGGATGTCTCAAGTGTTTGACCATATCCTCTACGGAACCGCTCCACGAGTAGGATTTGAGGTAAACGGTCATACCTATGATCAATGTTATTATTTGGCTGATGGTATTTATCCTTCTTGGTCAACTTTAGCGAAAACATTAAGCAATTCAAGCTCAAACAAAGAAGCCTTGTTTGCTCGATGTCAAGAAGCACATCGAAAAGACGTAGAGCGGGCCTTTGGAATTCTTCAAGCTAGATGGCCAATCGTCCATGGCCCTGCGCGATCTGGGGATGTTGCAACAATTAATGATATAATGTTGACATGCATTATATTACACAAAATGATAATAGAGGATAGCAGGTTGATTCTGACGATGAGATGGAAGATAATCTAGATTATGAGGTTCATGACCAACAACCAACTAATGTCGACAGAGATATTCCAGCCATAACTGAATACTTGGCAAGGAATAATATGCTTGGTGTTGCACTAATACATCATGGGCTTGGTCGAGGATATTTGAAACTTGCATGGAAATAATTAGTTATTGTTGTTGCTTGGTATCGTGTTAAGATGTTTTGTCATTCAATTAAAGTTGTAGTTGGTGACAATTAGTTTTGTAATTCAAGAACGCATTTTCATTTAATAATATATCGGTCTAGTATTAGTTTACATACAACTTCAAGATGATAAACATAAATTTTAAATAAAACGAATTTAATTGAAGTCATCTTATCAAATAAAAGAAATTAAAAAAAATATTAAACACAAATTAAATACAAATTAAAGAAGTCTAAAACAATTACAAACATTAATTCTCATTTTCTTAGTTAAACACCTTCCTTTTTTCTCCTTAAAAAATTCTGTTAATTAACTATCCATTAATTATTTAACAATTAAAAAAAAGGTTGGGCGCACGGCCGAGCCGGAATTTCCAGTCGGCAAAAATGCCACCATCGGCATTTGCTCCCCCAAATTTGGGGATCAATATGCCGCCCTCCCCCAAAAATGCCCCCTCCCCCACCCCCCTAAATATGCAAGCCCCATTGGACCTCAATCTCTCCCAAAAAGGGCACCTCCCCTAAATATGCAGGCTACATTGGAGACAGTCTTAAAGAGGTAGAATTTTCAAGTCTGTGGAACCCACGAATTTGGAACCTCAAAGTCCATAGGTCCCACCAATTTGTTACCTCTAAAAATCGAAGCAAACAATAGATTTTGGACAAAGTCCATCATGAATCCAAATTCATAACCACAAATCTATCAAACAAACAACCCTTAAATTTCAGTTACAAATTCACAAAACTTCTAAGTACTTCTCAACCATTATACAAAATCGAGTCTCAATGACATCTAGGGTAACAAATACAAGGTTTGAAGTGTAACCAAATAAAGAGCCTTGTATCTAGGGATGGTAATGGGGCGGGTTTGCCTAAACCATCCTCATCCCCGCTTTCAAATATCCAAACCCATACCCGCCCCATACCCATGCGGTGGAGGATTTTCCAAACCCATCTCCATACTAGTGGGTTTCGGGTACCCATAGGTAATACCACCCCGCACATTCAACATGATAACACTTAAAATTGTATATATAAATTTTCAATTATAACACTAAACGCACCTACTATATCATGAAGTCGACAAAGAGAAAATCATTCTTAACATGGTTCAAAGCATCTTATCGTGAAGCATCCATTAATCCATAATGTAGAATAGGGATGACAATTTCGACCTGACCCGCCCCATTCTCGACCCGTTTTTTGCCTAAATTACATGTGATCTTAGTCAAATTACATAGGATTTTCCTTTTATTACATCATATTTTTAACTATAACAAAGTTATAAATTAGTGAAATTCTCAATTTCTCCAATAATTTAACTACATTTATCATACTATGGTTTGTTTTCTTGGTCTTATTATGAAATTAACGAATACTTCTATGTTTTCAATATAAATTGCATACCCACTAGGTCGACCTAACCCGATCCGCGACCCACGATAAATTACCTGACCTGGACCCGACCTGCCTTGGGACGGGCATGGGTATCATGATACCCGCCCCGGACCTAACAAATACTTCTAATGTCTTCACTCGGTTACCTTTCTTCCAATCAAAATGTTGGAATGCTTTGCAATTCAATTAAAGTTGTAGTTGGTGACAATTTGTTTTGTAATTCAAGAACGCATTTTCATTTCAATAATATATCGGTCTAGTATTAGTTTACATACAATTTCAAGATGATAAACATAAATTTTAAATAAAACGAATTTAATTGAAGTCATCTTATCAAATTAAATACAAATTAAAGAAGTCTTAAAAAATTACAAACATTAATCCTCATTTCCTTAATTAAACACCTTCCTTTTTCTCCTTAAAAAATTCCCTTAATTAACTATCCATTAATCATTTAACAAATAAAAAAAAGGTTGGGCGCACCGCCCAATCGGAATTTCCAGTCGACAAAAATGCCACCATCGGCATTTGCTCCCCCAAATTTGGGGATCAAAATGCCGCTCTCCCACAAAAATGCCCCCCCTTAAATATGCAAGCCCCATTGGACCTCAATCTCCCCCAAAAATGGTGCATCCCCCAAATATGCAGGCTGCATTGGAGACAGTCTTAAAGAGGTGGAATTTTCAAGTCTGTGGGACCCACGAATTTGGAACCTCAAAGTCCATAGGTCCCACGGGTTTGTTACCTCTAAATAATTGAAGCAAACAATAGATTTTGGACAAAGTCCATGAATCCAAATTCATAACCACAAATCTTTCACCAAATCCATCAAACAAACAACCCCTAAATTTCATTTACAAATTCACGAAACTTATAAGTACTTCTCAACCATTATACAAAATCGAGTCTCAACGACATCTAGGATAACAAATACAAGGTTTGAAGTGTAACCAAATAACCAACCTTAAAACCATCCTCATCCCCGCTTTCAAATATACAAACCCATACCTGCCCCATACCCATGCGATGGAGGATTTTCCAAACCCATCCCCATACCAGTGGATTTCAGGTACCCATGGGTAATACCCGCCCCGCACATTCAACATGATAACACTTAAAATTTTATATATAAATTTTCAATTATAACACTAAACGCACCTACTATATCATGAAGTCGACAAAGAGACAATCATTCTTAACACGGTTCAAAGCAT